AATGATGTAAAAGTAAGTCTGTAAATGGACCACATTGGACGCACAGACACACAGGTGCCAGAAGAGCACCTCCCTCTGTTTAGGATAAAACTACGGGTACATCCACTGTATTCTGTAAATGCTTTTAAAGAATGAAAATCATTAAAAACTATATAGCAACAAAGAATGATATAGGTGAAAACTTCAGGATACAAAGAAGTATTTTTTATAATAAAAATGATGTAAAAGTAAGTCTGTAAATGGACCAAATTGGACGCACAGACACACAGGTGCCACAAGAGCACCTCCCTCTGTTTAGGATAAAACTACGAGGACCGGGTGGTGAGGGGACGTTGCCAGCACGATCCCACCAACAGGTGCGAGCAGGGCGCTGCCCTCGGGTAGGCGGTTGTCCCCACATCCCCGAGCCCTGGCAGGACACACAGCAGCTTGGGGGTTGTGGTGGCATCACCTCCGCTGTCACACACACGGGCCCCATTGCTGTCTGAGCACCTGTGCTGCCAGCCTTCTTCCTAGGTGCTGGGGACAGAGAGCGCCTGCACGCGATCCCTGCTCTCGAGCAGCTCGCAGTCTGGAGCAGGGAAGAGGGAAACCCAGGCGCGAGTGACGCAGCGCCTTTCCCTCAGAGCGCGCCCAGAGTGCTGCGCCGGCCAAGCGGAAGCAGCAGCAGGAAGCCGAGCGTGAGGGAAGCTCAGGCCTTCCCGGAGCAGACAGAAGAGAAAGCGCCTGCACAGAGAACCGGAACGGCTCGCACCCACGGCCGTCTCCACCCTTACAGCGGGGACAGGCTTAGCGTTCGTGGGCTCCTGCGTAAGCCAAGTGCCTGTCCTTCGGTGGCAGCCGAGTGCTGCACGATGACCAGTGGGTACGTACGTGGAACCCGTCTGTCTCCCAGAGCCACCAGGTGTGCCGCGGCCTCACCTGCAGACTCACGTTCTCAGCCTGCCGACGGCCCTCGGTTTCTTCCTCACTGGCACCTCCGGGTCCTTCCAGAGACCTTAGGGAAAGACCATACCCACGTCCTCTGTAAACGACCAGGATGACGGAGGGCAAGGAAGACGTGAAATCAGCAGGATGCGAGGACTTGATGGAGGTTGAAGACTGTTTGGGGACCTTGGGGACAGATGTCTCTGTTGTCCGGACGTGACACAGTTGTCTGTGGCAGTTCAGAGGCCTGGGCAGGGGGCCATTCGCTTCCTCTGGCTGGGGCTGGTGACGGCCTCTTTACCGACACCAGACAGTAGGGAACGCGACGCGGAGGGGCAGGCCCCTGACCTCGAGAGACAGGAGGCTTGCTTCCTGGCGTGGCCAGGGCCTGGCTGTGTGACTGTGGGCACATCGCCCTGTCCCAGCCTCCTCGTCCACAATGGGGATGACATTGCGTGGGTGGCAGCAAAGACACAGGGAACGACGCACAGACACATGCCCTGCTCGGGGCTGGGACAAACAGGAAGGTCGCAACCATGGCGAGAGAGAAGGGACTGCGCTGAGCCTGACCCGTCACGGTGGCTCCACCTGCCTCCCAGGGCCAGCAGGGGAGGGGCCTCTGCGGCCCCAAGTGGGGCTGGACAGCCAGCGAAGACATTTATTGCAGGAGGACCGGGGCTGAGCGCCAGGCCAGGTCCTCCCAGGTCAGACAGGGCTGTCGCATCACCCGTCAGATTGGAACTCTCTAGCGAACCTCATGCTCTACACCACGTGGGGGCAGCTCTACCTCAGTTTCTTTGTAGAAGGAAGTCGGCCGTCCTCACGGGGCTATTATGAAGATGAAATGAGATCACACATGTGAACACACCCACCCTGCCACGTGGCCGACACGCAGAAGTTTGGGTGAGCAGTGTGGCCACAACTCTGACTTTGCTACGATTAAGAACTCAATCCCGGCCGGGCG